GGGGGTGGGGGTGGGGGGACAGGGGGTGGGGGGACAGGGCGTGGTGGCAGCAGGACAACCTATTGTTGCAGGAGATGCTGAAGCTGTCCGTCATTGACATGCTCTTCACAGTGGCCAGCATCCTGCTTATAGACTTCTTCCGAGGACTTTTTGTTCGCTACCTAAGTGACTATTGGTGTTGGGACCTTGAAAGCAAGTTTGTAAGTGGAGCAACATGCCTTTGGGGAAGGTTTTAGTGCTAAATCCATCTTTTCCTGGGGGCTTGTCTATGAATCGATCAGATATGTATGCATGACTTTTCCTGGGGAGTCAACTGTTCATTCCAGATAGAGGGCAATGAGGGACCAAAGAATTCCATTCAAGTCCAGCTTGGTGAACCAGTGAGCTTCCTGGGGTCACTTGGGGAGCATGAATGAAGGGTTACTTACAGGGGTATGGGCAGCTGGGCCAGTTGCATCAACAAAATGCCCACCTCAGCTTGTGTGATGACTAAGCAAAGCTTGCTGCACGATTTGCAGGCAGCTCCACTGAGGAGTCTTCTCTCCTGAGCAATTAGTAACAACTTGTATAACTGAGGGAAGGGCCTCCTGAGACTTGTACATTTCTGGAATCTTTAAGTCTTTTAATGTCTCCAGTTTCATGAGCTTCCAGACCCTCCTCCTTTCAGGAGAGAATGCTCAAACTGAGGAATCTGCTATGTAACAGCATGGCCCAGAGGGGGAAACCACCTTAGAGAGACTTCAGGAGGGAAGAGGGGAGAGCACGCAAGGCTGAGCTCCTGCCTTGCCCTTCCATTTGACCATTTTCCCAGGTGACTCCCCAGGCAATGATCTCTAGGTATCTGTAAGAACAAAGAATTCCATAAATGTGTCCATACTGAGCTGCTGTGTACAAAGGACTTCGTGACCTTTGTTTTAATGCAAATTCTTTTCTCTGACAGCCTGAATATGGGGAATTCAAAATCGCTGAGAATGTGCTTCACTTAGTCTACAACCAAGGGATGATTTGGTAGGACCCAACGCTCTGTTTGTCTTAACTCATGTGTCATCGGGACTAAGGTTTTGATTAGTCCAGATGGAATTATGAGCCAGCATAGTCGTAAATATCAGGAAAGGATGTTTGCAAGGGACTATTTCAGAGGTGAGGCAATTTTATTAGTGACTTTCTAAGGATTTTATAGGAAAGAATGATGAACGAAATGGTTCCTTTTTTAACCACTTTTGGTCAAAGCCAAAATAATAATAACCCCATTTCCTTAGGAATTGGTAGAATCACAGTGCTAGGAAGAGGGGTGATCAGGGAAGAAGTGCAGCTTCTTGCCAGGGAGAGTGTCAGGAGCTCTGTGGTTACACTGGGGCTCCTAGGGCCAGGCCTACCTTGGACATTTCCCATCATTCCTTTCAGGTAGACACTGGACCTGGACGGAGGGCTATTCTCTGGGAGAGCAGATCCATCCTGGGGGCAACCAGGCCCCGGCAAGCCTCTTTAGCTAGGGCACCTCCAGCCCAAGGAGATCCTGACTCTGGGGGCACCAGGGCACTGGCAGGAGTCACTCTGGCATCCTTTCCACAGCAATGTGTCTGTGGGGGCATCTAAAGTGACCTACCACCTAAGGCACCACAAATGGTGCTGTATGCCCAAATTCTGTCAGATAAAGAGAAAGAGGAACCTCAAATTTTCTATACATTTAGAAAATACAGTCCTCATCATGTCACAAATACACAGGGAAATCAGTAGTATAAAGTGAGATTCCTCTAACCAAATGCTATGTTCTATGGTACACTGTATTTTTAAAAATACCTTCACAAATGAGGTGTTCAAAATAACATGCCCCATTTATTTAGAATGTTCCAGATAGCTGCATACTTATGAGTAACTGATTTAATTTTTATGGCAATTCTAGGAGGCACTGTTATCATTTTATTCATTTAAAAGATAAAGGGAGTGAGGCACAAAGAGGCTGCATGGCTAACATCCCAGTTACTTCTACCTGCCACAAAAAAGCAACCATGAATTGTAAAAATATTTTTACTTATTAAATATACCCTATTTTCCTACCATTAAATCTGAATTCCATAAGGATTGGTTTGATTACATATACAATATAAATTAATTTCAAAAACAATAGGAGGCCTTGGGTTTTTTTCTATATCTGACATTTGCAGGGTGACTTGACATACCAGCTTAGGGAGCGGTGTGAGTTTTTACTCTCAGCTCTTTGCTTTTAAAAGCAGTCGTGTTTGGTTGGACACAGTTCTCCCTTATTGGTAACATGTCTGGGAAAATTCATTAATGTTCCCACATTGGGGGTGCTTGGCCTGAGTTGATTAAACCAGAAACTTAATAACTTATTGACCTAGTTCTTACCCACACCTGCAAAATCTAGAGCTCACCCTAAGACGTGGTTGTCCAGTGTCTGCCACCTCCTCAGAGGAGGGCTTTCTCTTGGCTAAATTATGGGGGGAGGGAGGGGGCAGAGACACTTGAGAAAGGATTGCCACCCACTACTGCATCTTGTCTTATCTCTGGAATGTGGAGATTACACCTCAGATCTTCATGGGTTCTGTAGTTCTAGAAGCACAGGGTGTGAACACAGGCTCTCAGAACTGTGCTCCTCTGAGGGGCTCTTGGACCAAAGCCCTAGAAGGGACTCTGGAAGGGGACACATGCAGCTGAACTTTTCCTCGTTCCAGGATGGGGGCCTTCTTCTCCCCATGTCTCCCAGCCTTCAATGTTCTCAAGCTCATCGGGCTGATGTACCTGAGGAGCTGGGCAGTGCTGACCTGCAACGTGCCCCACCAGCAAGTGTTTCGAGCCTCCAGGTGGGTAGCCATAGTGTCTGCCTCTGACTGAGATCAGGTTTTCTCTGAGTGTGCCTCTCCCAGCACTTCGTTCATCAGCATGGGGCCTGTCCCTCCATTCTGTTCCCTACATGAAGTCATACTCAGGCCTCAGCCTTAGAGACAGTCATTCCTCCTACAAAGCTCATGACCCAGACTGTTAAACTTTTTACTGGTATTTAGTAATCATTTAGGAAAAATTACACAATGATGAATGTTTAACCTGGTAAGTTTTCATTGATTGAACACAAATGTTCAATTAACACCCACATAAAATGTGAATGGTTCCCAGACCACCCCACTTCTTTTCCATGCTAGTCACCCCTGAGACCTAGAGGATGGTTGGGCTTGCCGGGTCTCTTTGTGTAAACACAATATGTGCCCCTTTTTGTCCATTTTTTTTTCAGTCAACATTGTATCTCTGACCTTCACGTCCTTGAGGAAATATACAACTGACCTTTTGATTTCTTCAGCTGGTGGCTACTTCTATCCCATAATGCATAATACCACTAGAACATTCTCCTAAGTGTCTTTTGTCAGAAGCATATCTTACAGTATAATGCTGGGCTGTAGGGCATACATACCTCATTCTGTGCAGGACTTCTGGTCAAGCGTTTTACATCAGAGAAAGAGAGACAAGGAATTGAAGTTGTCTTGCTGTTCTAGTTTACAACACGTAAGTGTCCAGCCAGTGTCTATGATGTGAACACGTTGGGCTGAGGCTTTCTCTGAGAGCTCATTTCCAGGTTTATTCTAAGTTGTGTATAACCCTCAGACACAATATGGATAGGATTATGTGTATGTGTGTACATGTTGGTGTGTGTGTGTATCCAGGTGCATGTGCACATGTGTATGCATGTGTGCAGAGAGACCAGAGGTTGAAATCAGGTGTCTTCCTCAGTTAATCTCCATCTTATGTTTTTGCCAATTTGGCCAGGCTGGCCGGCCAGCAAGCCCCAGGGAGTCTCCTGTCTCTGTCTCCTCAGCTTTGGGATTTCAAGGATGTTGCTGCCTCCGGCCTTTTTACTTGGGTGCTGGGGTTCAAACTCAGGTCTTCATGCTTGTTCAGCAAGCACTTTACTAACCAAGCCATCTCTGGAGATGCCTGATAGGAGGATGGTTTTATCTGCAGAGGTGGTATCTGTTTCAGGGGGCAGGTGTTTGGGTACATGCACTCTGGCTCTGGCATGAATGCTATGTGACATGTGGTCCTTCTGCAGATCCAACAACTTCTACCTGGCGATGCTGCTGTTCATGCTGTTCCTCTGCATGTTGCCAACCATCTTTGCTATTGTCCACTACAAGCCATCTCTGAACTGTGGGCCCTTCAGGTACGCTAGACATCTAGTTCAGTCAGTTCTGCTGCGGCTGCTGGGAGCCACAGGGGCATTGAGTCATGCTGAATTGTATCCTCCTTCTGGCTGACAGAACAGACAAGAATAGAAGGAACTCAAACCTGCATCTTTTGAGCCACAAACCTTCATGGCAGGCTATGCTCAAGTACAATTCTCTCTGTGCTCATGTTAAAAAGAAATGGCCCCTTCAAAAGAAAAAGAAGGGCTGGTGGGATGTCTCAGTAGGTAGAGTTGCTTGCTGCCAAGTGGACGACCTCAGCTTGACCCCCGAGACCCACATAAGGCAAGCAGAAAACTGACTCTTCTGACCTCCATATGCAAGCTGTGGCACGCGCGCACGCACGCACACATACACACACACACACACACTAAATAAATAAATATAATATTTTAAATGTTTTAAAGGAAAAAAAGAAGCTGGGTGTCATGATTCATACCTGTAATCCTAGTATTTGGGAGGCTGAGACGAGGGGTTGCCAATAGTTTGAGGCTAGCCTGAGCTACAAAGTAAGCTTGTCTCAAAACAACAACAACAAAAGAAATACAAAACAAAATAAAATAGTAAAAGGGAACAGCCTGGACTATATAGAACTTCTACCTGGTCCAAGCCCAGAAAGCTTGATATGAAGAGGCCACATCACTTTTTACCCTAGAGCATTTATCTGTAACCACACAGACATCCAAACCGTCATCTCCATAGACACCTAAATCGGTTTCGTACATGAACACTTGGAATCTATTTCCTTTACTCCATGAAAAAACACAAACATTCAGTGTGATTGCCAGCCTCGCCTCCAGTGCTGCCTGGTAACTAATGACTGCTTCGCATGAGAACTTCTTGGGACTGCTGGGAATTTTTGCCTTTTGGAGATCTGTCTTTAGCTTTTATAGCTGTTTTTGAGGATCTACCCCTAAGCACCCAGACATTTTTGATAGGTCTTACAGCATTACTCAGTCCAAAGCAATGAAATCTGGAGTTATCTTTTTCTTTCTCACAGTGGACAAGAGAAGATTTATGACATCGTGTCAGAGACCATAGAGAATGACCTCCCTGCATGGTTTCACTCTGTGGTGGGGCACATCAGCAGCCCTGTTGTCATCCTGCCAGCCGTGCTGCTTCTGTTGTGAGTACCACATTTCAGTCTCCGGGGACACCACACCTCCTAGCCTCATAGTGCCACACTTCTAGGCCTCTAGGACCTATCACACCTGCCAGCCTCCAGGGAGTGTCATACTTACCAGCCTCCAGAGATGCCACACCTAACAGCCTTCAGGCACAACTGTGCCTGTTGCCACATGATCATACTGCTGTCCAATAATTATATAAAATGAGCGCATTCAGAAATCACTTACAGAGGTTGATGCTCTAAACAGGGACACTGAGCCACACCCAAGAAACGCAAGCCATCATGCCACAGAGAGACGGCTCCTGGGTCTCAGTGAGGGAGGTTGAGACTCAACTGCAATTGGGGTAGCTACTGATTCATCCACAGCAGCTGGTCAGTTGCTGTGGCCACTATAACATTAGCTCAATACAGTAACTGCAGAAACTTAGACACTCTTCACATTTCACAATTCAGCTGAATAGTTTTGGCTCATTCGAGGTTACAGGGAAAAGCAGAGGTAAGAGTCATAGCCTGATTCACTGCAAAGTACCTGCATGATCTTGGTGCCTTCTTTTTGCTGTGAAGGATCTGAAGCCAGGTTGGCTATGGGAAGCAAAAGAGAGAAAAGGAAATTAGCTCTTTCCTAAGGTCCCCTAAGCTGGGAGTTGCCAGATACATTTTCCTTAGGTTTCTGGGATCGACGCTCACCTCCACCACCACCTGAGCAAGGTCTGAAAGCTAAAGAGCCAGATGAAGGTCACAACTATTCTATGTCCTTCCATCCTAGCATGCTCATCTACTACCTTCAGAGTATCGCACGGTCACTGAAGCTCAGCAACCAGCAGCTCAGGATGCAAATCCAAAACGCAAGTATCATGTGAACTTGGCTCTTGTGAATTCCGTGGTCAGTGCTCCACCCCCCATGACTGAGCACTCTCAGCAGGAGAATGCAAAGGAGCTAAACCTTCAGGTTACTGTGCCTCCTGGTTATCCCCTATGGCACAAGGTGGCCATCCCCAAAGCCCCTTCAAGTTATTTCTAAGAATGCCAGTGATGGCTTGCATTTGCTTGGGAGCAAGCCTGCTCACTTCAGTGTTCCTTCTATGGCCACACTAAGCTCAGTGTCCCAGGAACCTCAGAAGACTTTAATAGAATGGCAAAAAGGGCTGGTCCATCAACACAGGTCAACTTAGACCTCTGAGCCCAACAATGCTGTTTGCACCTCAAACACTCTTCTCTCTGATTTCTCGTCTTTTAGATTCTGGCTGGTAGGGCCTCCTTCCTACGTGGGCTCAAATCCTCTCCCAGAGGAATCAGAGGGAGGCAAGCCCTCCCTAGCCCATCTTCAACTTTTCCTCTGCATCCCCCTCCCCTCAGGGTTAAGAGGAGGCCAGGGAGGCATCCAGGGCATCAGCTTTAAGGAGGTTCTGTCAAGGTCATGCCAGCCATGTCTTTTCATAACCCTGAGAGTCATGTGTCCTTAAGTGTCATGCGTCCTTAAGTCCTTAACAGGCCCAGTCCTGGTCACCTCCCTTGTCTTACCTTCATCTCAGACTCCCCTGCAAATAATTTCCTCCTCCATTTTCAATTAGAAAAGAAAAAGAAAAGCTCCAATAAATATGTATGTAAAGAAATAATAGACTAGCTTTGTGAAATGTCAAATTAGAAATTCTTCCCAGTTGCAAAGGGTGTTTTTCCCATGTATCTCCATAGTGGCCAAACTGTATTTTCTTCTTTGTGATTCAAACCATTACAGGCAGAGCCATCCTGACCTACAAATCCAAATCCAAATGACTTCAAGACCAGAAACTTTGTGGGTGTGAATATGAGGCCATGAGTGGAAAGTTCACACCGTGAAACTGTTTCTTACACAAAAAGTTCAAAATAATATTGTATAAAAGCACCTCCAGGCCAGGTGTATTCTGTACACATGAAGCATAAATGAAGTTCATGTTTAGACTTGTGTCTCATCCCCAAAATACCCTAACATGTACATGGAAATATGCCAAAGTTTAGAAAATCTAGACCCTGAAACACTTCTGGTTCCAACCCTTTTGAACACAGGATGCTCTGCTTGATTTGGCAGAATCCAACAGACTTGGGAATTAGCTGTGGGTACAGCAAACCAATCAGGCATAAAACCTTGGTTCTTTTATGTCTGTATTTATTCACTGAAATAACAGGCCCAGTCCTTATAACCCAAGCGCTCTGTCTCCAGTAGTTCTCTCATGATCTAAGGTATGAATAATGGCACATAAATCTTTTTTTCTCTCTCTGAAATAAAATGTCAACTGCATCTTTTTAAATCCAAAGCAAACTTATTATCATTTACATTTTAGGCAAGATCTGAAGATAAGAAAAAGGTTGCCCAAATGGTGGAGGGTAAGTTTATCTTTAAAATGCAAATGTCTACCCGTTAAGTTGATGGACATTTAAAGAGAGGTTAGCAATGTAGCTGAAAGCCTACCACTAATGATTCCTCATAGCCAGTGTGGGTTTTCATCAGTCACTAGGCACACTAAAAAAAACCCTAGGGCTGTAAATACTGTCCTAAACCTCCAGTTTTATGTCATACCCAGGCCTGTAAATAAGCCCCAAACATCTTTAATCAGAAGGAAGCTTAGAAACAGGAGAGAAATAGCAGTGTGGTGAGGTGGAGAATGCCTGAGCACCTGCTTGCCTAACTATTTTGTGTATCTCTTCTCGGGCACCCATCTCCTCCCTGCAAAGTCCAGGTCTCTGCCCCAGCTCCAGGCTCCATAAATTCTGTCTTCTCTGTCCCAATCCCACCTAGTGATGCCAGCCAGGCAGGCCCAGCCACCAAAATGTATTCCTGAGTATGGACCCAAAGCCAAGGACTCTCCAAGGGCAAACCTTCTCTCCCAAGTTCTTCAAACTCTGTTCAATCTAGAAGAGAAAGCTGTGCCCCAGAAGGAAAGAGTGTGGGGAGCAGATCCTGGTGTGGCCAGAAGGGAGGTGAGGGGATAGGGGCGGCTCAAAAGAAAGGAAGCAGCTCTACCCACTTGAGTATGCAAAAGCCAAAAGGCTCACAGGGCTCCCACTGGGCTGGCACAGCCCATACCATGCACTAGAGCATGAGAGATGAGACCCCAAGAATCCTGCAGCACCAGCTCTCATGGCTGTTATATGCTAAGCTATCTGGACCAGAGCTCCTCCCCTCTAGGAAAACACCCACACCTGAGGCCTAAAGGTCTTCTTCCATCCAGCTTAAAGAGGAGTTATCAGGTGATTAACTGCAGGAGGGCACTGTGGTTACAAAGACAACTGCAATCTGACATGACTTTCCAGTTAAGATTATTGTTTAATCCAGGCAGAGTCCAACTTCCAGGATCTACAGACTTTCTCAAAGTAGTAGTAGCATTGTCTCCTGTGCATTTACCATCTTTTCCCAGAATACCATGTGAACCATTTCCAAAAAGCCACAGGATTCATGTAGCTTTATTGTATGCACCTTCAGATAAAGATGTCAAATAACCTGTCTTGCCTTGGGGGCATCAGACTGTGCCTTGTAGTCTCAGGATGCACTGATTTCCTCCATTCCTTGCTTGAGCTCTCCTTGTAGGGTGGTTAAATGGTAGACTGTCAGCTGTGTTTGCAGGTACAGCTGACTACTGTAGATTCAACTATTATTAGTCATATGAGTCCTGTAACCAGAAGCCAAAAAAAAAAACCAGAGAGGTTCCAATAATTCCCTAAGAGAATATTCCCCCTGTGGCAGGAAGACCTCCCACTAAGCCCCACCTCTTAAGGGCTCCATCTCCTCCCAAGAATGCTATTTTGGGCAACAAACCTTAACACATGGGTCTTTGAGGTATCCAAGAGCCAAACCATAGCAAACCCAGACTTGCCACCTGCTCAGAAGTTACCTTCAAAGCTCTCCCTCTGTCTGCAGCTCGAATCCAGACCCACGAGGAAAGCACCAAGAGGCTTCCCAAGGACAGTGACCTCCTCAGCCAGCTATCCTCAGTACACATGGTGACAGCCCAAAACAATGGCAATGTGGTCAACTTCGACTCTCTGAGCAACAACAGCATCAGGTTAGAGACGGTCACAAAGTCCTTGCCCCAGAGTCCTGGGCAAAGACACAGGGCTCCCTGCTCTCCTCTTCCTGGGGAATCCAGATCAAGACCAGAGGAGGACATTAACAGGTGAGGGTGAACTGTGACACGAAAGGAAACAAAGCTTCTTGAATATGATGCCAGTGGTGGCCCAGAAGAGCCATCAGAAATGTAAAGGCCTCTACTTTTTCAGGAGGCCAGGGCCATTAAATTCCAGTCTTGCCAGAAGGTGTCAGAAAACAGGGATAGCTGGAACCCAGAGGATGCAGAGGTAGTGGGGGAAGGTCAGGGTTTGTCAAACAGGATAAACCTTCCTCACAAACTAGTACATATGTCTCTATAGCCTAGAAAAATAAGATGCCTTTTTTAGAGGTCAGGCATAGTAGCACATGCCTTTAATCCCAGCATTTGGGAGGCAGAGGCAGGTAGATCTTTCTGAGATCAAGGCCAGCCTGGTCTACATAGTGAGTTCCAGGCCAGGGGACTGTGTCTCAAAATCAAACAAACAACAACAACAACAACAAAACAAAACCCAAATATCTTCCAGAGCTGGAGAGACAGTTCAGCAGTTAAGAGCACTGGCTGTTTCCTTAGGACCCGGGTTCAGTTCCCAGTACTCACATGGTGGCTAACAACCATTTGTAACTCCAGTTCTAGAAGAATCCATTGCCTTCTTCTGACCTCCATAGGTATTGCATGACCCAGCTGCACTTACACACATGAAAACAATACATTCATACACATAAAATAAAAATAATAAATAAAATATATTTTAAAATGCCTTTTTAGCAGTTTATGTTCCAGGTCAATGTTTGGGAGTTCAGAGGCAGGAGGCACAGCTCCCCACTGTCACCCTCAGCTGCTCAAAGAGTTCCTCAAGACTTTTAGGGCCCTTGACTCAGGCCAAACTGGGATTCATGGCTTTAACACAGAACAGAATTTTAGGACTAGCCAGTTTATGAAGCAGAGTTGGGTTTTAATAAAGACATTTAGATATAGGCTTAAGAACAAGGGTTACAATAAAGCAAGGCATTCAGAAGAGAAGACACAGCCAAGAGTGTGAATGTCGGCTTCTCAAAGGAGCAGAAAGTAAGGTGTGCCCAGGTGTGGTACTTGCTCCTCAAGTCTTTCACCTCTTCATTTATTGACAATGGTCATATCTAGGATCTGGGTGGGGTTTGAAGTTACTACCTTCAAAGGGTTACTAAGGAACCTAAATAAAATTGCCAGGGGGTCTCTGAGGGTATCTGGTAGAATTACAATAGATGAGGTAGGAGTATGACTCATGGGGACAGAGGAAGGTAGGATGTCTTCACTGTCCACAAACTGAACTGCCCTGTTTGAGAGTCTCAGACCATGTCTTGGGAAAGGAATGAGGTCTGACTCAAGCTCATATGCAATCAGGCCTTCATTATTATACTAACCTAAAATATCTACATATAAAAAGGAATATTAATTCTATGTCGGTAGCCTTCACTGTAAATGTTGACTGCACTGAATTTTACTTCTCATCTGGCTGGGGAGAGGCTTCGGTCAGGTGCCTTTCTGTTCCCATGTTCTATGACTTTCCTCTCTTTCTATCCTGCCTCATTCTATTTTCAGCCCCAAACTAGCTTTATTAGTGGCAAATCTTCTCTACTTTATATGCAGACTGTTCCAAGTTACTGGCAAGAGCTTCTCTGCATGGTTATGTGGGCCAACTGTGTCAGTCTTATCTTCAAGAAAGAAGAATTGGGCTTTTTTTAGTGGCTATGAAGCACTCAGAAGGACGAGGGGACAGGGCTATACCAATCCAACTCAGATCCAGAATTATACTCATCCGAATGTACCACAATGAAAGCCATAGAGACAAATACAATTTTTCTCTTTTTGCAAGTTAGCATAGAACTTGAGGTTTTGCTATAAGCGAGTTGTTAGCATGTCATTGCAGTGTCTTGACAAGTAACAGGCATCCAAGTCCTCCTGGGGACTATGGCTCAAACCATAGTCCAGTCTTTTTCTACAGGTATAGGTCCCCCAAGTGGACACTTGAGGAAGTACAATATAGCCCCACTGGAGCAGTATTACTAACAGGAGCTCCACAAATATTGGTCCCATGACATGCTCCTGGCAGAACCAAGACTCTGTAACAGGATATATTAGTGAAACACCCCTTGCCATGAACCCTCGAAGAGACTGTTGCATGCCTCATTGGGTCAGGACTTTTGAGATGTTGAGCAGGGTCTCCCACAAATGCTTCTGTGCAGAGTCCACAGATCACTCACAGACACTTTGGAATTGCTAGAGATGCTGAAGGAGCCAGAGGTCATGGCTACATAACCATGTCTGTCTTATAGGTATCCACATGATCCGAGTGCCAGCACAGGCAGCCTCCAAAAGAACAGATCTTGCACATCTGTGACACAGATACAGTCCATCAACCATGTTCGCTCTGAGCCTCTTTCCCGAAAAGACTTTCAGCCTATTAGTCGTCTTCTCCATGAACCTGGGGTCTCAGCCTTGATGACACATGGCCACAGACCCCATGCTCCCAGACACTATATTGTTAATGAACATGCTTCTCGAAAAAAGACACACCCAATTTTCTGGCCAGAAAGACATTTTAAGATAGATGCTTTAGGTGAGGTTGTAGAGTTATATCCCAGGAATGTGCGACAGTACAAGTCTTGGGCCCCGCACCAGCCTCGCTGTCCACAGCTGAGTGAAGAAGAGGACATGCTGAGAAGAGATTTTGTCCAGTGGCCAGTCGCCCCTCGCTCCCTCACAGACCTCCCTCAGGCTTTTTACGTTGATGACAGATCAGAAAGTGACACCAGAGGCCCTGAGCTCCAGCCAAGGATCTATTACAAATCTGGGGATGATGGTTTTGAAGACCAATTCAATAGGCCCCCATTTGTACACAAAAAGCCATGCTCTCGGAATGTCCAATACCCACAGCATCCGCTGAAGCCCAGGGTCAAAGCCAAGTTTGAGCCATCCTTCACAGAATCTGATTCTGTGTCAGCAGCATCCAGCAGTGACCAACAGAATAGCAGCACTGACCAACACCTGCAGGTCATGCCCAGACAGGGAAAGTTCCCGAGGTCTGCTGGCCAGCTGGGCAGGAGGAAGGCCAAGTCCAGGCAGGCACTGCCTGCAGATCTGAATGACTTAGTTTGTTCAAATGTCTAGGCTCCTTCCAGTGTCTCTTCATAAAGACTGGACTGCCTTGGAAACACCGGGCCATTACATAGCTCCACCTTTTCCAGAAAGAGAGAGGAACACATCTGGTGGGTGTTAGAGATCTATGGAAGTCATTCTGGCATATCCACTGCTCCAGTATGATGTTTGAGATCCTGGGACTGTAACTTCCTATTCACAGCAGTGACATACAAGTAGTTTTCTTATGGACATCACGCATCAGCACATCAGGTCATGATTTCAGTAAAAAGTCAGGCCTTTGACTTCATTCAGGATGACTGCACTCACAGGCAAGCCAGACCTCTCACAGTGACTGCAGAAACCAATTCTGACACTCTGTAATTATCTTTCCTGTTAAGTGTAAGTGGTTTGTACTATGTTCTCTTCAGTATACAGCTATCAACACTCCTGAATAAGCACCCCTTAAAGCAGGTGACTGCCCTTAAAGAGTTCACAGTCTATAAGGACAATCAGTTTAGTAGTGACCAAAGTAATACATTTATCAAGGGTTTCTTTTATTCTGTGTTCATTAGCCAAGACAAGAAATGGATATAATCCCAGCTTTACCCCTGAGCTTTCTGTTTCACTTTACTGGGAAAGACAAGGATTGAGGCTCAGCAACATGCCCAGTTGGAACGAAGGCATCAAACATCTCCAAGAATATCTATCTTTTCACTTCTTGGTTCTGTTTGCTGACCTCACTTTCTCCTACTGCTGAAGAACTTCCTTCAGGTGGGAAGTGAAGAATTCATGGAATCACAGAGGCACCAGGTTTGTAGCCTCCACCCAAAGAGCCCAGAGGAAAGAGCACAGCTGACCCTCCCTGCTGACCTTTGCCTCTGCCTTCACAGCAGCTGTTCTTTTGATCCTCTGAAGGGATTGCACAGGGGTTGGCAGCTGGATGGGTTCCATCCGTCAAGGTAACCAGCACAACACCCTATTTCCTGATCACTCTTTTGACTCTGAGCGGTGTCTTTTAACAAAAATGATTCCGCGGTTCTCCACTACCAGGAACTGATACATAATAGATATTCCATGTGTTTTCTATTACTACTGTCAGTCAGAATAACAACAGTCTCTCCACAAGTCATTTCAAGCACTGCAATGACATGAAGAGCAGGGTACACCATGAGCAGATACAAAGTCTGAAGTAAGGGGAGGTTTCCCAAGCAAAGTGAAGCTTGCATAAGCTGCTTGAGTCAACTTTCCTCGTAAGTAACATTAATAGCGAGGGTGACATCTGTCCAAGATTGGGCAGATGTCCTTGCAAAGGCTTGCCACAGATAACTAGCTGTTGAATGCAAATGGATGGATAAGTAAATGAATGAACTGTAGGAATGCAGGAATCACAAATGGCAAGGTCCACTGATAAGATGTCAAGATTAACTCCCATTCTAACCAGGGAAGTTTAGTATAAATGTTGCCATTTGAAAAGTCAAAAGACACAGACAATCCCCCTTACTGAACTCATGAGGAGTGCACAGTTTCAAATGCCTTGTCATGTTCATGCTAGGAAAATGTTCTACAGTGTCTAGGGTGCCCTTTGGTGACAGAAGTGCTCACAGGAGTTCCACAGTGAGGGGGTCCTGTCTCCCAGGTGCTGAGGCTAGGGTTAAGGCCTAGAGCTTCCAAGGACATGAAAACAGGTTAGGAGAGACTAGCTCACATCCAGATATTTGTAGGAGCAGCTGCTTATGTGTCATGGGGAGGAGGGAATGTGAATAGCCCCTGGGACATTCCAAGAAAATCATGGCCACCAGTAACAGGCCTAGGGTTGTGGTGTGAGCTCAGAGCATGTACACACTGCACCTTGTATTGGGTGTCTTAGACAAACTGAGTGTGATAAGCACCCATATTCCCCTGTGAGGGTCAATAGCTCTTTGTATTTTATTTCCATGGAGACATTTTGTTCTTATTAATAATAAAGAAAACACTACAGACTTGGACTTGAGAGACTGATGCAGGAGGACTGAATCATAAATTCAAGATTAGCCTGAGCTACATAGTGAGTTCCAGCTTGAGCTACATAAAAATACCCTGGGGAGAGAGAGGGAGAGAGAGGGAGAGAGAGGGAGAGAGAGGGGGAGAGAGAGAGAGAGAGAGAGAGAGAGAGAGAGAGAGAATTATAGACATAAAGTTCACTGTAGCCCTACACTAAACATTTCTCCCCTCACATTGCCAGCTCAGTGTGCATCCATCTAATAGTCACCATAGTTACAGACATAATATTTGTGAATATATGTACACAAGCATCCATAAGAAATACCTAAGTATGTCTTACTTAAATCACTAGTATTATCCTACATCTATAATTGTTATATTTATAAAGTCTATCAAAGAAATATACACAAACAAAGCTCACTTACTATGATGGCTATGTAGTATTTCATATAAATAAAGTATATAATATCTATTCATTCTCTCCATAATGGACACTGAAATCATTTCCACTTCTTTCCTACTACAAGACAGTGTATTAAACATCTTCCATGTATTTTCTTTGAAGAGGTTTTAGTCCTTCATTTTATTTTTATTGAATGTATATGAGTGTATTGCCTGCATGCAAGTGCACCCATGTTGTGCAATGCCTGCAGAGGCCAGAAGAAGGCATCGAATTCCCTGGAACTGAAGTTAGGGACGGTTGTTAGCTGCCATGTGGGTACTGAGACCAAAGCCAGGTCCTCTGCAAGAGTAGCCAGTGCTCTTAACCACTGAGCCATCTCTCCTGTCCCAGTTATTAGTCTTTTAAAAGAAAAACCTCCCCTCTGCTTCCCTGGGCCTGCATGACCCCCAGGCCTCTCTCTCTAGGGTAAGTCGATCGTGCCCTCTGCACCTTGACTCCCCTAGCCTCATTCACCTTCCCATCTCACCCACCAGTCTCTCAAATTAGCCTGGGTCCTGTCCCATTCCTTGTCTTGGCACCCCAGACACATGGGGAACCACCACTGCTTCCTGATCTTTTGCATTCAGACCAACTCAGTTCCTTCTCAGGTCCACAGGAGCATCCCTGGGCCTGCACCGCCCACTAGCATCTTTCCTGGTCGCTAGGGTTGACCTTTCCTCTTCCTGATCCTTTGCATCCAGACCAACCCAGCTCCTCAGGGCAGTCCCCAGGAGCACTTGGGGCTTCTTCCCGCCCCCATCTTCCTTTGCATCTCTGGGTGGCACTGCCACTCCCTGCCCTAGACCAGCATCTTTCCTGGGCCTGGCTCCCAGGCCAGTCCAACCCCCAAATTCCTGAGGCCAAAATCTTTCCTGGAGAGATCCAGACCTTAGGAGAAAGCCTGAGGGCATCTGATCCTCATCTGCCTTGGGCCTCTGTGGAAAATCCTGAAGACAAAAGCAATCTGGCCATTCCAATATAAAATCAAAAGAGAGAACCAGAAGCTTAGAGGAACCAGCTTTTCACGCCCAAAAATTAAACCACAAAAGCACATGAAGTTTACAAAAAGAATCAGACCTAAACTTGAAGGCTTGAGTCTCACACAAGAATCAGAAACTACAAAAGAAATTCACATGTCAAAATCACAGAGAAAAAATAATAAGATGAAAAACCAAAATAACATATCCCCACCAAATACCAATAGACCTCTAGAGGGGTACACTGAGAACCCCTACAGATAATGCAGGACACGGAACTCAAAAGAACAATTATAAACATGTTAAAAGAATTCAGTGAATTTAAAGAACACAGAAAAAGAAATCAAAGAACTGAAAGAAGGTAGGGATAAACTGCTAAATGAATTCATAAAAGGGTTAGAAATATTGAAGAATAATAAGGCTGTAATGAAGAAAGAAGTGAAACACTCAATAAGCCAATTAGAAGTGACAGGAGAAAGCCTCACCAATAGGATGAATGAAATGGAAAACAGAATATCAAGACTGGAAGATAAAGTGGACGAATTACACCACTCAAGCAAAGATTATGAAAAATTTAAGAGCAAAAGAATGGAATATGCAGGAATTGTGTGACACCATAAAAAGCCCAAACATATGAATCATAGGCATACAGGAAGGAGAAGAATCCCAACATAATGGCATGGACCACATCTTCAACAGATTCATGGAAGAAAATTTCCCCAAATTAAAGAAAGATGCCCATACAAATGCAAGAAACATATAGAACACCAAACAGACAGGACCAGGAAAGAAACTTTCCATGTTACATCACAGTAAAAACACTAAACATGCAAAACAAAGAGACAACACTGAAAGCTGCAAAAGAGAAACAGCAAGTCACATATAAAGGAAAACCCTTTAGGATTACAGCTGACATTTCAGTGCAAACTATGAAAGCCAGAAGAGCCCGGACCAAAGTATTCCCAGTTTTAAAGGACCACAGATGCCAACCCAGATTACTGTATTCAGCCAAAATGTCTATTAGTGTTGAAGGGGAAAGAAAAATCTTCTATGACATAAATAGGCTAAAGGAATTCATGTCCACAAAACCAGTCCTTCAGAAAGTTCTGGAAGCAATACAAACAGCTGAAGACAGGAATGACTATACCAAAGGGGTTGCAGAAAGAAATTCAATGAAGGTATAAATGTGGAAAAGTAAAGCTATATCAAGAATGTAAACAGAAATAAAAATGACAGGATTCAATACTCATCTTTCATTAATAACTTTCCATATTAATGGATTGAAATC